GAGGGTCATTTTTTGACTGCCAAATGAATTATAATGTTCTGTCTGCATAATATGTAATTGGCCAACTTTCTTTTTTTTTTTTTACAGCACATTGACCTGAATAACATAAGGGGACAATATCAGAATATGTGCAAAATACCTTATTATAAGCACCTTGTTCTGTAGGAAGCGACTGTGGCTCGTAGGTTAGAGTGGGTGGTCCTCTAAGGTTGGGGGTACAATCCCCAAGTGTCTTTCAGCAAGACACTGAACCACAAGTTGCAGCCTGGGAACATCACTGCAGCCCATCGCTCCTGAATGCTTAGGATGGGAGATGTATAGAGGCCACATTTCATGTATGTGTATGACAATTGTAGTAAAGTTTAAGTTAATTGCATACATTAAATGGTGGTTTTTCTATCATACTGCATAGTTAAAAAAAAAAAAGGATCTAACATTGTCATGACCGTTGCGCAAAAAGCAGAAGAAGCTCACAGATATTTATGTATCAGTTCTGTATATGACTCTGCCGGATGTCTTTGGTAATGACTTGGTGACTCTAATGGCACTGCACGTCTAGTATGCAGCGACAATAAGCTACACATGAAATACATTTTCATCACCCGTATGTCTAATTTGTGGACACGCGCTCCTCTGATACACTCCAACACAGTGCATGTACATAACCTCATGTGTTATTCCAATGTCTTGTTGAAAATACAAACTTGTGCTGTCAGACACATTCACAAATGTCTGAATGTTTTATTTTAAATGACAGTTTATTATATGTATTACTTGGATGTTTCTAAAGATACATTTCAGTGGCATCCTCTTACATGGTACACATTATGAATGGAATAACCTGGCACACGTTAGTTTGTTAGGACATCAGCGTCCGCATTGTTTATTATAAACTTGCGTCATATTCAGAGTTCCCAGAAATTGAATATCCTGCTTTCGATGGCCTCAAGGACTCCAGGGGCCTGCACCGGTAGCGTTGGCATGGCAACTGCACATGGCCTTTTTTTTTTTTCTTTCTTTTTTTCAATAAATGTATTTAGAGGTGAACTTGTTTCTCACTCTCTCCTCTCCGTCTGTCTCTGCCAACATCCTTATTAAAATGCCATTAAGCTTTAATGACCTTACGTCATCCATTTTGGTCAAAACATGAGCTGAAGCGTTGCGTACATGGATCAGCGTGTCCTCATCTTTCATTCTGTCCTCCTGCTTTGAATTCATCGTGCTGATTACGGAACTTCCTGCAGTCGTTTATGAACAATTACATTTCCTCTTCGCAAGCTTTTGTCCTTCTGGTTCAGTGCAGCTCAGAATCCCCTGTTATTCAGGAACAAAACACAGAGATGTGTTCTTCATTCATAGAATATCTTTAAAATGTGTAAAGGTACTAGCTACTTTGTGGAATAAGATTTTACCTGCTAAACATATAATTATGTTATGAAATATGTTGCCTTTTCAGCCATATGGCATGGCTTTTAGCTCTCAATCCCTGTCTGTTGGTCCATACCTTTGGTTCAGTCTGAAATATCTCAACTGACAGAGCTGCTATCGTGGCTCTCAGTATTATATCAAACTAAAGTAGCTGTACATCAACCAGCTAGCATGCTGGTTACATATTAATTTATCACAAAATAATAATCCAATAATTTTGCATTAAGAGTACTTTTGACACGTTAAATAGGTTTTGCTGGTGAAACTATATTTTTACTGAAAGTGGCTACAATCACACAATACAATGTTAATATTAGATTGATTACTTGTTAGTGAAACTCTGCAGTTCCCCTTAGCTCAGCGGAGAGTTAAAACGTCTTTCAACTTTCAGTCTGCAACTTTACTGTTTTGGTTCAGTGTTACGCTCTCTAAAGCCCCGTCCTCTGCCGCAGACGGCTGTTTTCAGTGAAAAAGCTCTAAACTCACTGTACGCTACCTACTCAGCACCAAACAGCAGACAAACACAGTTATTGGCTGGTGAACATACTGTTGTGGAGTATTTATCAGCATTAGAGCCAGATATTTCCCTCAGGAGTTAATGGAGACCAAAACAGAGCAAACAACCTAAATGGCGATAACAATTTTGGTGTTGTATTCACAGCTTGTTTCTGCTGAATGCAGGATTTTCACTTGTATTTTTGTACTGTCCCTGCTACTTTTTATTCATTTCCTGGATTCTGGATATGATTATCTCAATATTCTGTCCACTCAGTGCACTCTCTAATCTGAAGGTCTCTGACATGATAAAGCAAACCTCCATCAACACTTATTAAAAGAACTTTATTGTGACAAGTTTTGGCCTGTGGCCTTCATCGGGTCATTTAGTATTTTCTTTCTTTAATCTTCTTAATTTCTGATCATTATACACAGTAGACTGATTGGGTTTGACCTGCCTGCTTCATAAAAGATGAGCAAATAATAAAAAGGAGATCAAATTTTCTGAACTGCTGTTAAGGAGGTCAATATTGGCACTTAAAAACCACCCTTGATAAAATAAACAGCCTCTCTCTTTACAAGAGTTAATTGTTTCATGTCTTGCATAAACTGTCAAACATGAAAGGTGCAGGTGCAAAGAGGTGTGTGGAGATCAAACAGTGAAAACAAACAGAGTGGAATGAAACTGTAACAAAAAGAACGTGAACAACTAGTATTCATTTCATTGTATCAACGACTTTATATCATAAATGATTTATGCGAAGTATTTTGGCAAGAACACATTTTGGTTTCTCTTCAGCAACAGAATGGAGGATGTGGTCAAATCAAGTACCAAAGTGACTGTTAAAAAACTGTTAAATTGCTTTGGCCAATTGGCTCGCAGAGCTCGCTGCATTGTCAAACCGAGGAGTGTCAGGTGGGATATTTGTCATTGTATGTCATTTGTCTTTTTGTCCTTGCTGGAAAGAAAATGTGAAGCTGTCACTGAGACAATAAGGTGCTACAGTAGTTACAGTATTTGTTTTAGATACACTATTACTCCATTAGTCCACACCAAACCTGTTATCTTCTGTGAAATATTGACAGAATCTCGTAGAGTAAACACCAGTCCACAAAGCACTGCAGTCATTTCCTAAGCACCTTGTGTACAAGGACTGTAGGCAAACTTTAACTTATCATATAATTCTATGGCAACCATATCATATTACATTTCATAGCAGCTCCAAATATGAACATGTAGAATTAAGGGAGCTAAGGATGAATATTAATTTGCCTCAACATTGGCTTTGTTGCCAGGAAACTGAACCAACTTTTGATCGACTTCACTTTACAGCCCAACTGCATGAAATCTGACCAAATACTGCCTGGTGTGTTACAGCTGGTACAGAGTTTAATGGTTTAAAAATGCAGTTCATTCCATTAACAATGAGATCATCTTGGAGTGAACTTGTGGTGCAGTAATAATAGGGTTAGTCAGTCTCCACCTTTATCTTGTGGGATAACAGGAGCCAGTTTCTAAATACTGGAGACAATGCTATATGCAATGTAAATATTGACTATATAATACCTTATATAATATCTAGCAAGTTTTAGGACCTTTAGTATATAAGCAATTAAAGCAAACAGAGAGCGGCTGCTGTTTGCCGGAGTCCCTGAGTTATCTCACTCTGTGTCATCTGTCAGATTTTTGTTTTCAATGAATCCTGCCTTACAGGATTTAACAGGGTGTGAGTATGAACTTCTAAGTCTTTGTATCCTAACTTGACTGTTCTAACCGCAGTTTTGCATTATGCAAATACTGAGCAGCTGGTTGGATATCCTCCACTAAGTCAGCAGTAAACAAGGTGGTTGTCTCAGTGTTTTTAAAGGCGTTTGATTGACCAATGCAGAGACCAAAAGCTTATTTAGATCTTTTAATTTGTCTCTACAGTGTGATTTATAAAAGCCAAACTACGATACCGTATACTTTACACACAAATGAATAATATAATTACTGTGACAATAGGGGCCTTCAGGCTATTCCGTCATACATTCCCTGAAACATCCGTACTCTTCACTGACAGTATCTCTTTGTTTCACTCCATTCTGAACATAGCCTCTGTTCCTAGTCTTTGACTACCTACGGTGTGCAGAGGGCCTTGTATCAAAGCATCCTCTCCCTTCTGTATGTCTTATCTTTTCTCTCTGCTCAGATAAATTAGAAAACTCTGTCTCTTGGAGGAAGGAGGGAAGATAAGACCGCCACAACCAGACTTACTTGTGCACCGCTGAATTCAAGATAAAGAGGACTAACAGAGGACTTGGGTCACTCAATATCCCCTTCTAAACAAAACACTGACCAGACCCCTTGTCCTCTTAACATCCCTAATTGTCACCTTTTCCAAAACCTTTTCTTTTTTACTAGAGTGTAAGCAGAGTTGTTTGTAAAAACATCACGTGACAAACTTTGTGAATCATTCAGACTTTAGCCTGTCCCCTTTGCAAACACATTTCCAAAACAACTCCCCTCCCCATAGTTGCATCAGTTACAGTTATACACATATCCCAGAGTCAGAAAACCATTGTAAATACCCAAGTTACAACATAGTTTACACATTATATTTATGGAACATTTGTACAAACAAAAATAATATTGCATGATGTAAGCCACAGTACGATTAAAACGGTGCTTCAATATGGAATACATTGCCTGTTTAAATAGTGTAAGTGCTTAAAAATCGTGTTTTTTCCACGATCCCTACGTGTGTTATCGCTCAGGGCTAATGTGTAGTAATGCCAGCAGATAGCAGGGAGCGCCGCTCATTCACTTCCAGGTGCAGTCCGCAGCGGTCCAGTCACAATTCAACACGAACTGCTTTCGGCCTGATAAATGCGCATGCGCACTACGGCTGACCCCCTCCGGTTTCTGCGTGCGATGCCACGTTAGTAGCGGTAGACACAAAATACCAGCTACTCTCCCAACCTGAAACAACGACAAATACCACAACTGAAGACCAAATATCGCAATTGAAACGGTAGCCGACTGTTGTCTACAGCTCTCTCGTCTCTCTGTCAAGAAGAACACTCGACGGGCAACTATGCTGAAGTTTCTGCTCATCTGCACACTGGCGGTGGCCAGCAGAGCTGAGGTCGGCGAGGAAGAAGATGTCCTGGTGCTGAAGAAAAGTAACATCGAGGAGGCTCTGAAAGCTCACCCTGACATCTTGGTTGAATTCTGTAAGTAACCGTCGCTACAGAATCCCTTCAGCTAGCGTTAGCCGTTCGTAGTAGGCTCACCGGTGTTCCGGCTAGCTAGCTACGTCCAGCCTGGGTTACCGTTAGCATCAAACTTTGACACTTCTGACGAGTCGCTGCTGTTAGTGGCTAACTTATTGGTGTCGTGTGTGATTGTGCGTGAATCTACTTAATCTAGTTTCCCACCAGCTATTTCACCGTAGTTAAAACTGAGTACAAATGCACGGGGCATTGTTTATCAGACTGCGTTTTCTGACTAACTAGCACAGAGTATCTTCAACGTTTTAAATGGTTTTTGATGAGGATACGAAACCTGGTACTAACGTTAAACATATTGCAACTTCAGTTTAGCTGCTTGTTTTAACTTGGCTACAGCGTCAGGATTTTATAGATACCGTTAGCTAACAGCACCAGGGCCAGGGCGTGCATTATCCCCGAAATAATGCTGTAATAATGATCATTAACGAGTTATGTGAACCAGTAACGTGCAGGGCTAGTACGTTTCGATTGCCTGCTGTGGTTTCATATTGTACAGGCCGGACGTCTCGTTCACTGTCGCTTTCATGCAGTTCTGGACTTATGTTCACTAATAAAATGATTAGTTTGCGTGTCATAACACAGGTTTATTGAGCCACTTCTTCATAGCCTGCAGGCCCACCCCGCGATACTTTTGTGAAGATTGTTGACTTGCTCACATTTTACGTGACAAATCAATGGGCCAGTCAAGAGAAATGGCTGTGGGGAGATTCACCAATGAGCTCAAGATGGGAGGGATGAAGGCTTTTCTTTTTCCTTTTTTTTTTGCCCACGTATTAGTCAACTGGGCGGGATCTGAGTGGGACTGGAGCTAGGTTGACGTGTACTTAACAAAAGTTCATCTGTTCGTTCATGTGGACTGGATTGCACCAAGGACTTTTTATTGTTTGTCAAGAATTTAAGGTGATGCAATGCAGGTCATTTTATGTGACGTGTCATTTATGATCAGGTGATTATCTGTCCAGACTTTTACATGTATAACTGGACACCATGGCTTAGACATTACACAGTAGCAATTAAATTATCCCGTTTGCTCTGGTCAAAAACAAACTTAAGTTTATCAAAAGCTGTCTGGGAAACGTATGTTTCTTTAGTTGAACCGGGGCGATGCACAAAGGAAATTAAATTTTTATATAATAAAAAGGACAGATGTAATGAACTGTGGTTTTCCCTCTGTTCCCCCTGGGCAGGTAGGTAGAATAATAAAATAAGGCCACTTAATTATTTTCATCATCAATTAATCTGTTAAAGTATAACTTTTTTCTTTCCTGACCAGCAGTCCAAAGTCTTAGTTACAATTAAATACAATGAAGAAAACCAGCAAATCCTCACATGGAAGTAGCTCAGCTAAAAAAATACACGTTTGGTGAACAAGTAATGATTTATCAAAATGAGTTATTTTCATCAACTAATAATTTCCTCCACTATATTCTGCTCTGGATAAGCAGGGCGGGGTCTTCAAGTTATACATTGTTTTTGTATGGATGATCATTCAATCTGGTGATCATTTTTGACGACACTAGCTCCTTGGTGCTCCTTATTTGCCATGTTGCATTTTTTTATAAACCTGATGTTTTCCCAACAATATTATAAGATGGAACTTAATTCTCCCTGAAGGATTTTTTTGTGCCAAAAATGATCAACCCTCTAGATCAGGTTTACTTACCAGCAACAATGCAAACATTTTGTATATGTGCCCTGCTAAATGTCCCCCTGACACTCCTCCAGATGCCCCATGGTGTGGTCACTGCAAGGCCCTGGGCCCAGAGTTCGCCAAGGCCGCTGGCATGCTGAAGGCCGAGGGTTCGGCAGTGCGCCTGGGTAAGGTGGACGCCACAGAAGAGACCGAGCTGGCCCAAGAGTACGGTGTCCGGGGATACCCCACCATCAAGTTCTTTAAGGGCGGAGAGAAGGAGTCACCCAAAGAGTACTCTGGTGAGCATTACTGTCTTTATTCTCACAGACTCGCTTGCACGAGATGTATTGCCTAAAACTTGGAGGCAGTGGAGGTAAATGTATATGCTGCAGACGAGTGTTGATGTGGTGTTCCTATACTTGTATGTTACATGAAGGTTTTATATTTATAATGTGCCTATTCTCCCCAATTACATCATATATCTCTCTGTATTTGAATTAAGTCATACCTTCTGTTTAGAAAAAAATCTTTTTCACCCACCGTGCAACTAAATGTAACCTCAATAGAGGGGAGTTGCTTCACAAAGTGATGTAATCCTGAGTAACTCCTGTCATACTAAAGTGAGCGAATATTATTTCATAATGTGATGTTATGAGAGGCTTCATAGATGCCATAAAGAATCGGTTCTAAAACTGAAGGCAAAACGTCCATTGACTTTCTTTGTCCAGGTAATATGACCTGCACAGCAGCATGGGCTGTAAATTAGCCAATCAGCTTTGAGCAACAAGCCTGAGACAGAATGTGGGTTGGGCCTTCCCTGTACCTTCCCCTCATGCTGACTCTGAGCCAGCAGAGAGATGTGCAGTTCTTCACGTTTCCTCTTCCCTGCTGGCCGGGGCCAGGCTAAGTTTGGAAAGGAGGGGGAGAGTGGGTTGGGAATAGTCTACAAAGCTTTTTTTTTTTTTTTTTTTTTTTTGCCACCGTCTCAAAAATACTTTCAACTGCTCTGAAGTCATTGTAAACCATCAACAACTCCAAATGTTATCCTAATACTTTATATTAATTTGTTTTTTTTCCTTCATAAAAACACACCATTCAAATGATAAGGAATAAAAGATTGTATTTTTATTGATTAAAACAAATCTTTTGATTGGTAGTTTAATAATGTATTATAATCTGCTTAGAGCTAGTGTCAACAGGTCATAATTAATCTCTAATATATTTTATGTTGCTGTGAAAACATCTCCTTCAAACTAGATTTATTCAAGTTTCTCACCAAAACTACATTTTACGAGATTACATGTGAACACATCATCATAACATTATAATTTACTTTCGGCCATTACTCATTTTCACTGAACGGAGCTTGAACGTATCATAATGTAACCGAACAAAATCCCCGTTTTCCTCGTGTCAATTTAAACACTGATTGTTTGTTTATGATCTAACGTTATCAGAGGTCTGCGACTAGAGAAGCATGCATGATGTCCTGATCACATATTTGACTGAATATCGGCGGATAACGATCGTCGGTGAATCTTTATTTCACACTGTGTTGGTTAACGTTAAACTGTGTAATTCATTCGTGGTTCACATGCGTGCCGAACCGGGGGGGGGGGTCTGTACGGATCAACAATGGTCCGTTACACCACTTGTTGGAAGTCTTTTTTTTATTTTGTGGAAATGAATACCACAAAACCTCACAGTACCACTCCAAGACTGTGCTTCATCAACATGTTTCTAAGTGAAATTGCTACTGTGTTGCATCACCGGTTCAGTCAGCCAAGTCTATCTTAAGTCAAGTTTAACTGCAACAGTCTTACTCCCAAGAAAAGGATAGACATGTTTTTACAGCCTCAGAAATTTGGCATAATGATTTTTATTTTTTATAATTCACTCACCGTGCTTGGATGTGAAAACAAATGAGCACTGTTGTGTGTTGCCATTTTGAAGTAAGAGCTGTTAACCAGCAGTTTTCAGAAATGCAGAAGCGTTAAATGTCATGCTAGAAAAGGGTGTCTCTGTGCCTACACACATTCAGTGTATGTTTACTTAAACATCTGCACCACCGAGGCACTGCAGTGTTTAAGTTGAGGTCCGGTATATCCAGATCTGTCTCTTTGGTCTGTTCAACTGCTGAGAAACCTGTATCCCACTAAAGAGCATGAAGCTGATCACATTGTCGTGCATATTTCATGTAAATCGTTAAAGTTTAGCATTTGTGCGAGTGCTTGAGTTATTGTGTTCTGTTGCAGCTGGCAGACAGGCCGATGACATCGTCGCCTGGCTGAAGAAGCGCACTGGCCCAGCCGTTGCCAATCTCGTCGGAGTCACTGAGGCAGAGTCTCTGATCGCTGACAATGAAGTGGCAGTCATCGGATTCTTTAAGGTGATATTCTGATCTCTCACGGTCTAAGTATAGATTAAATATAAGTCAATCTTGTAGTAAAGCTTGTTCTTTTTTGTTTTTATTGTGATGTATACGCATCTTTTGCTTGGATCCTTCAATGGTTGATGTAATACGACAACTTTCCCATATGCACACAGTATCACTCAAAATGCATTGCTCAGTTTATTGTTTGGCGTTGCCAACCTCTCAAAAGCAAAATGAAAACATTTTGGGCTATTCAGTGCCTTCATTATCAAATATATATATTTTGTTATGCTTTTGTTGCTTTCAAAGCATGAGAATAGAATAGTGCAGGTTACATTTTAAGTTTGAGTCATTGGAGATTACTTGCACAGCACTTTATCTTAAGGGAAGTGTTTTATGTGTGTGTAGGATGCTGACTCTGACGGTGCTATGGCCTACGAAAAAGCAGCAGAGACGACAGACGACATTCCTTTCGCCGTCACCAATGACGATGCTGTTTTCTCCAAGTTCGAGGTGACAAAGGACAGCGTTGTCCTCTTCAAGAAGGTGACTTCAAGTTCTTCACTTTATTTCTTCACCGTTCCGTGATAATTCTTTTAGATGTCATTGTGACACACAAGGTGCATGTAGCACCTTTGTTGAAATGTTACACAAGATGTGTGTTTTTTTTTGTTTTTTTTAAACAGAAGACTACAGCTGTCCCTGGCAAAATAGAGCAGGAATCACTTGGCTTGCTTATCAGCACAATAGTATCTCATTCGGCGCATGGATTTGTCAAATTGGGTCAAGCTCCAGCATGTCCGTCATAAAAAATATCAAGCCATAACAAATTCACAACGGTAAATATCCCCTCATCCTACAGTGTAGCCTAAGACTACGATGATTGCTCTACTCGGAAGCAGTTCAGCATTAGGAAAAAAATCAATCTCATTTGTGCTCACAATGCTCAGAGGTGCATTCGCTTAAATATGACCACATCTCTAAGTGTTCTTGTAACCGGATTGATTTTAGTAAGTTTATATATTTTTTTATTTAAAGGTCCTGCCTTAACAATTTTTGTTCTGGTACCTCGTGGTGGGCATCATTGTTTGTGACACATATTTGCAGTAGATCAGTGATGAAATAATCATTTTATGCAGCCCCAGCTGCTTCAGCAAGAAAAAGCTGACTCTCTACATCCCAGTGCTTTTCTGCTCTCGGCCCTTTGAGTTATGGATGCTCTTCTTTTCTTTTGGCTCAGCTGTCCCACTGCCATTGTCTGGCCTCCGATCCATGTTGGTAACTCTACCCTGATACAAACACCACTGACATGTGGGGTTGTTGTCTACATTTAGGCAAACCCTTCCCAAAGCTGGGGCTTAGTCGCAATAAACAGCTGGGGTCTTTCACTTGTTTATTGCAACAGAGTTTGAGGCTTAAGTTTCACAGCCTCGGTCAGTGCCCACAAGGCTGGCGACATGCCACTGGCCAAATGTGCTTTTTCCTATTGTATGCCAGTAAGGGTTGCTTGGCACAGCGGTGTCGCTGCCATTCTTAACACTTAATAAAAGTCTATTTGGGCTGCTGGCTCTTTTGTTGGTTGGGGGTTACCATGGGGATATTGAAGTGGTTTGTCTGGTAAATCTATGTTTGGTGTTCACAGGCAGACTCGGTGGGTGGATAATATGTGAATCTAAATGTTTCCTTTACAGTTTGATGAAGGGCGCAATACCTTTGATGGAGAGCTGACCAAAGAAAACCTCCTGGCTTTTGTCAAGGTTAACCAGCTGCCTCTGGTTATCGAGTTCACAGAGCAGGTAGTGACTGGGGCCACATCAACATGACCATTCACATCCCTTTTCCACACTACTGTCCATAACTATAAGAAGTATTATCCCCACGTGTCAAACTTTTATATTTCTGTTGTCTGCAGACTGCACCTAAAATCTTCGGAGGAGAAATCAAGTCCCATATTCTCATGTTTCTGCCCAAAACTGCTTCAGACTTCCAGGACAAAATGGACCAGTTTAAGAAAGCTGCAGAGGGATTCAAGGGTCAGGTAGGTGAACCGTCTGAAAGCACCTCCCAATGCACTTGTCTTTAACTTGTCAATTGCAAGTAATGTATACAGAATGCACGTCAGTAAGACTTAGACAGGATATTTTGAATGATCCGTAAAGACGGAATCGGTTACTGACCACGTCCGTCTCCCCTGTCCAGATCCTGTTCATTTTCATCGACAGCGATGTGGACGACAACCAGCGCATCCTGGAGTTCTTCGGCCTGAAGAAAGAGGAATGCCCCGCCATCCGCCTCATCACCCTGGAGGACGAGATGACCAAGTACAAGCCTGAGAATGACGCCATCACAGCAGAGGCCATCGTCGGTTTCTGCAAACTGTTCATCGACGGCAAACTCAAGGTAAAGAGAGAGGAGTGGTCAGTTATGGCAGCACATGTATGTTGTAAATGTACGTTATTAATGCAGAGTTAATTCTTCTCTCACAGGCCCACCTCATGAGTCAAGATATCCCCGAAGACTGGGACAAAACCCCTGTCAAGATTTTGGTTGGCAAGAACTTTGAGGAGATCGCCTTCCATCCTTCTAAGAACGTCTTTATTGAATTCTGTAAGATTCTCGTCTTTATTATTTTTCACAGTCAAAGTTCAGTTGCTCATAGGTGAGAGATTTGGCAACTTCAGATTATGAAACTCGAGTCTTGCCATTCCTCACTTTTCCCGGTGCTGAGCCATTTTCAAATACCAAGAGTTGATACTAGAGACTCGCCCACCCTCTGCAAATTAATTTGTAACCAGACACTGAAGTTGAAAAGATTCTGTAAATATAGCTGTTGGATTATTTTTTTACTGCGATCTACATCCAAATGTGTACTATTTTTGGAGGAATTTTCCATCGCTGGCTGTTAAAACAAATGCACAGCGGGGTAGGACCATGTTCCCTGACAGGTGATGAGACGCCCTATTGAACAGAGCTGGTTTTAATGGACAAAAAGAAAATGCACGACATGATATTGCATTCAAATGTCTTCACTGGTCTATATGTAAATGAAATGTTAAAGCTAATCCACATGTACTGTATATTGTGTCTGAAATGATAATCAACTACTTTTTTGTGGTATTCCAGATGCACCTTGGTGTGGACACTGCAAACAGCTCACTCCCATCTGGGAGACGCTGGGAGAGAAGTATAAGGACAGTGATGACATCATCGTGGCTAAGATGGACTCCACAGCCAATGAGATCGACTCAGTCAAAGTCCACAGCTTCCCCACTCTTAAGTTCTTCCCTGCAGGAGATGAGCGCAAGGTGAGTGTTGCTAAATGTCTCTACAATATTTTCTTTCTCTGTTACATTTGATCCACAAGTGGAGAGTGAAGAAGTATTTGATTGGCATCATCTTGCATATCTTCAGGAATTAACATCTTTATTTGTGTTGACTGCTCTATAATCCTTCCATCACCTTTCCACCCGTAATAATCCTCTTCTTCATTACATGACTTTGCGATTGTGAGTTGTATCGATCTGGGTGATTATTTGGATCCAAAATCATTCCCAATCATCATTAGTGCCTCTTGATTTAGCAGCAGAAACCTGAGCATGCCGGCCTCATGAGTTTCTGCACCAGTATGGTGGTATATGGTTCATATAGATCGCTGCTCGATGTCGTCGCTCACGTTTAGACTCTCCGCTCAACCTACACCGGCCTCCAAAGCGCCCCCTCGTTGACCAGGCTTCAGTTTAGCAATCTTAAATTGGTGGTGGGGCCACCTCCGAGTAAGTCTGATTAGCCCGTGAACCTACTTAGCATGCAGAAGACCCAAGAGAAGGCTACGGGTGGAGCAAACGTGTCAGCTATGAGGTGCTGTGAAGCAGGTCATTATGGCCAGATTAAATGGCTGAAAACTAAAAATTGTACTTTGCAGATTTCCTTTGTCAAAGTTTATTGGCTGCTTTTAAATTAGTTGTTTGTGCAATTAAACGTATGCATTCATGTTTGCATTTTCTCTACCTTTTTCTGGGGTGGCGATGAGACATTTATCCGAAATCTGTTTGATGTCTGATCAACAGGTGATTGACTACAACGGGGAGAGAACACTTGAAGGCTTCACCAAGTTCCTCGAGAGTGGCGGTAAGGAGGGCGGTGCCCCTGCAGGAGACGACGATGATGACGATCTGGACGCAGAGGTAAGATCATCTTAACTGAGAGATTCATTCACACACTTTGTGAAAGCAGAAGAAGCTTATGAAAGAAGCTGCCTGCGCTTTAATGAATGTAGCCAGTTGGATCCACTTGTATTTTTCTTTGGAAACCACATAAAAGAAGCGGTATACGCAGACAAAAATCTACTTTGTATGCTGTGCTCGTTTGTACCGTGTAATGACTTCAGACGCATGTGTTTAAAGAGCTTTGTTTAGTTTGTGTACTGATACCTAAAACCAGTGGGGACATGTTCATTTTGAGGAGGTAGCCATAAATGAGGGAAACTGGAGATGACGGGGACTAAAACAAGAACAGCTGCTACATTGACAGTAACTGCAGTCTGAGAGTGTAGAGGCTGATTGTTCTCAACCTTTTCACGAGTTGTTTCCTGAATGAGTGGTGTTTGAGTAATAAAACCATTTCCTAAACTGTTACACTTACTTTGTTGACAATAAACAGGGTTCCTACACATTGTTAGCGTAGTATAAATAGCTAGATGTTTATTATGTAAATACGTGGTTTTTAAAATCCAACTGCTAACATGTATCACATTCCGACTATGTTTGCTATTGTGTTGCCAAATCATTTGCAGAAGATTGTAGCTAGGACACAAAGGATGGTGATGTAGCACTACAAATGAAGTGCCTTTACTTCAGCTAGATCATTTGGCTACTTAGCTCTCCAGCCACTGCAGAAGTCTCATATTGGACTACAACTCTTTATACTGCTGCTGCATATACTTCCACTAGCAATGGCTGTACAAAACGCTAAAAATGATTAACAGTTTCGCTGCATTGGCCGAACGCCATGAAAAACACTCTGCTTGTATGAACAATTCATTTTTTGAAAGTCCTGAATTTTATATTTTTGAAAATGGAATAGGGGCAGAAAATAAACCCACAATATATCAGGAAAACTGCTGCGCATCTACTGAAACATGGGCTCATTTTAATGACCGGTGCCAAGTTATTCTTAATATTATTTTGCCATTCCTTTTTGGAGTCGAGAACCAATATATAGAACTGTGAAAGTAGACGAGATCAGATCCAGGTGTTCTGGATCTGATCCCCTTGGTTTCTCATTGAGCCCCAGGGATTTTTGGAGGCAGATTTGGCATCATGTCTAGAAAAATGGGACCAACCAATGCAGGCTTTAACTGTAACCTTAGAGCTGACCCACTCGGCCTTTTTGAGAGGGGAATTGCATAACTGGTGCAAAATGTTGAAATGGACAATTGAGTGATCTGCCAAAGATGATTATTACCATATATTTGTAAAAGATGTAGAGGATGCACCTCCCAGACCGTTCTGTCTGCTAAAACTCTTCTGCATCCAGCGCATATTGGGGGGGTTTTGATACACCACTAGTCGACTATTTTGTCAAACCCCACATGTGCATTCGCTGTGAAGTAGAACTGCATGCTTGACAGATTTTGAGATTCAGTCTTAATCAACGGCTCTCTCCTCCTCTGCTCTCCAGGATGGGGATGATGTGGACGAAGGACAGGACACTGACTCGGATGGTGAGGACGATGGACATGACGAGTTGTAAGAGCTGGCAGAGGTGAGAGAGAGGAGACGAGTCCCGCCCCAACCCTTCCAACCAGTCACCATCACTACCTTCACTTCCTTGTGGACCTTCCCTGTCCTGTGAACATTAATACTTCCCCTTAAACTGCCAGTCAGTCAGCCTGCCTGCCTGCTGGCTAGCCCGCCAGTTGGTCAGTCAGTCCATCAGTGGCGTGGCAGGGCCTTTTTTGCCAGCCACATCTCCAAACCTCGCAACTTCTGGCCAGACTCGTCTTGTCCCACCTTGGGGGACTCTGTGGAACAGCGCAACACCTCTATGGAAGACCTCAATGCCTTCTCTACAAAGCTCCACATCAGCTGTTTGCCTTGTATATTTTAAACCAAATGTAAAAATGGCATTGAGATACAGTTTTCAAAAAGGTTTGGTTTTTTCTGTTGAATTTGCTCCCCTATTAAAAGAATTATTCAGTGTGGGTATGAGCTAACCTGTTGTAACCTGTATTTTTGGGTAGGGGGGGGGCTGCCAATGTTCTTTTCCCTCTGATGGGAATCCAGAGGATTTGTGTGGTTGTTGGTGAGAACTGATCTCTCAGGGGACATGGGGCCATCCTATAGATGTGTTTATTTTGCAATGTCTTCACTAAGATAAACCCCACAGAGCTTGTCGAGTGTAGCACAAAGGACCCACCCCATCTGTAGCTGAGACCAATTATTTTCTTCCTTACGGTGAGGAGAACTCTACTTTGTTTTCATTTCTTCATTCCCAAATAATTTCTCTCGGTTCAGTCTCCATATTTCAGCACGGCTACTGACTTTTTTTTTCTAAAAGGACGAAGTTACCTTTTTTAGGGAAAATCCCATTTTATTTAATTGCTTTCACTATGAGCTTTTCTTTTTTTATTATTATTTAGGACTCATTGATTTTAATGGTGTGCCCAGCTGTAGCCAGCTGGCCTTGTTGGGACAGAGTTGACACTTGGACACACTCTCAGACTTGGATGTTTTTTGGAGCCAGTTCTGATAGGTCGCACTGCATTCATGCCTAATCAGAGATTCACTGTGGTTGCTAAAGAAGACACGAGATTGGTACAGTTTACTGGTCAGGTTGGTTTGGGAGAAATGTCTGTTATATCTGAAGTGGGAGGGAACAATTGCACAGCCCCACCCCTCACCTGTACTGTACCTCCTGCACCCCTTTGGCTCTACCCAACACCCTTGTTGCCACAGCAGTGTGTATGTGTGTGAGAAAGGGAGTGTGCTGTGTGAATGTATGGTGTAGTTGAATGACTGGTTCATATTTTCTGGTTGTCCATGAACAGGAGAATAAATGTACTGTGTGTGTTGTTTGGCAGGGAGGGGAGGCTTGAGTAGAGCAAGGTGATTGGTTTGACAGCTACAGCGGTGGGGGAAACTTAATATAGCGTTCCATCATATCCAAATTGTTGTGGAAAACGTAAAATGGTGGCCAATAAATAAATGAATAAAAAAATTGGAAAAAATATTATTGTCTTAAGTTCTGTTTTTTGCTGAAGTGCACCTCCAGATTGACAACTGCATTATTGCACACATGAACCTTGGAAGAGAACTATTACACTATGCTGCTACTCGGGATGAACAGTTCAACAACGGTGAAAGAAAAGAAGGGTATGTGTACTGTCATGCTGAAACACTAATATATAACATTTGAACAAAGTGACTGCTAGAACTACAAATTTTTTTTTTTTTTTTTGTTTTTTTGTGTATAAGGTGTCGGATATGTCAAAAATCTCAAACTGTTCCTTTTGTTGACAAATGGTTCAAAATGTGTTCAGTTTATTCTCATTTAAGGCAAAGAAATGCAGCAAATGTTCATGCTGGCTAGCGACCTGGCCCTGGGGTGTCTGTCTGTTCGCATTTTTGGTCAAAATGTTGACGAGAAAAAAGTTCTCCCAATTGCTAGTTATTGAAATTTTAATATATTGAGTCGGTTTATTTGCTCGACCATGAATGCTGTCAAAGCTCCAAACTACCAGTAGAAGTGTCATTTTTAAACTTGTAGAATGTAAATCCCCCAAAGTACATGGCCCCATTGTCCTCAATTGAAGTATTCTTTATTGTCGCTTTAGTGTTGTGGCACATGACAATGCAAATCAGGGCTAAAACGAACAATTTTTTCTGTTTTTCAGTTAACGTAAATTTTATTCTCAATCATTGGTCTATAAAATGTAAGAAAAAAATTTAAAATGACCGACATTTCCCTGAGCCAAAGTATTTTTGTCTTAACATTCAAAAAAGAAATAATTTAAATGTAAGATACGAATATCCACATGTGAGAAGCCTGAACCTGTCAATATTTGGCATTTGTGCTACATTAATGTCTTTTTTTTTTATTGTTTATCACTGGTGGGAAATAATTAAAGATGATCTTACAAACCATTCAGTCATTTGGAAATGACCGATCCTGTGTCTCACCTCAGTGATTAAGATAGAATATGACTATGAAGACAGGAGCCTTTCTTGACTGTCTATGTCAGTGCAGCTAATGGTCAACAGCCTATACATGGCACCGAAACTCTCCATTAGTAAAACACTTTTATCCTGTCTAGTGTTTACGAAAAGCTACCAGCCTCCCCCTCCCGCTCATCTCTTGGTGTGTCACTGCTATCTTTAAGTGGACAGCATCTGGGTGTGTGAGGGTGACGGTAGAGGTTACTGGAGATTTGAGTAGTATCAGAGGCTTGTGACATGCTAGTATGAAGTATCTGACCAGAGGGCTTCTCATCTTCCAAATCTTGCCACTGGATCTGTGTGGTGTCGCGTCTTAAAATAGCCCGTCAGAGAGTATAAAGAGACCCACACCGGGAGGCTTGTTGATACACAGGGAGACACTAGACCGCAAGGGAGCCACACTAACAAACACCACTTCATCTTTCTGCGGGAGTATGATTGAGCTCTTAAGATCTGCTCAGATTTGTAAGACTTGAAGGAAGTCAAACTTAATATTTGTAAGGGTGTTGCTGGATTTCCAGCAAGATCAAAGGTAAATTTAACTTCTTACCAGGATGAAATACTACCAGTGCCCCATATCCCAGACTATGGGAATCAAGGCCCAGGACTGTGGCCTCCCAGTCAGCTGCAAGAGCTCTGCTTCTCTGAAGCCACTCCGTAATGTGCACTTCCCCAATGACATTGTTTTCCTGGACTATGTACGACACGGGGAGCTGGAGAGGATTGGATTTTTCATACGAGCCAGAAGAGTCAACCTGGACACCATCTACCACTCCGGTGAGAGCCCATGAAACATTTACAGCACCCTGATATAGTAAACGTTTGTGCAGTTACACATCTTACTAAACCACAAAATGACAAGATGCTGAACTGATGGGTTATTTTTCACTGCCCTCTCATTGCAGGCATGGCCGCCATCCACGAGGCCGTCCTGTCTGGAAACCTGGAGTGTGTGAAGCTGCTGGTAAACCACGGAGCAGATGTCCACCAGAGGGACGAGGAGGGATGGACCCCACTGCACATGGCCTGTAGTGACGGCTTCCCACACATTGCACGGTCAGCATATACACAATTC